TTGGCTGTACTTACTCTGTATTCAACAGCAGCAGACCATTAAAGCCCTTAATACTGTTATGCCTGCATTGTTCACTAGTCTGGTAAAACAGTTTAGTGCCGCTCTAGCTGATGAGGGATCAAAATTTAAGCAATTCATAGAAAGTTCACTCTTCGTCAATGGCAGAAAGGAAGAATGCCACTTGAGGTATTCACTGACTACAGCTGAGCAGCAGCCTCTTTGGAAACTGTTTGTAACAATGCTAGGTTTTTTTAATTAGTGCTGAAGCTAAGTGTGCAGTTCTGCCAGTGGGGACAGGAGTTCAGTCGCCGCTGAGTAGATAGGCTGGTAATCTACACATCAGCGCGTGACAAAAGGTATAAATACCCCCACATATTTCAGGGGTACCCACAGTTCTAGGCTCATTTTCAAGGGGAGTTTCTCTTCAGAAGCCTAACAGTACCTGCTACAAAGAGAAGTTAATTTTTACATCTTCTTATGAATACAGGAGTACACAAAATTTTGATTAAGGAAATGAGTTAGTTGCTTCATCTGAGACAGGAGTGGCATATACTTTATCCTAGAATAAGAGCCTTGGGATGTGGACTTCAGACTTGATTGACCAAAACTGGAAATGCTTGTAAACAACAGAAACAGTAAATTTCAAAGTTCTGGGATTAAGTAGGGAAGAGTGACCTATGCAATTGAACACAATATTAAGGGAGTTAGGAAAAAAACCCCAAACAGTTCTTCCAGCCATTCAGAAAACGTTGAGAAAGATTTGTTTCACTCGTGCAAAGCTTGATAGTCCAGGTAATAAAAAGCACCACCTTCATTTCAGAACTGATACATCTGTATCCACCTATTTGATCACTAGATGCATGCAAGTCAGAATTTCAAAATAAGACTTCAATGTTTGCGCCAAATTACTCAAAGTGCATTTAGTAAGTCTTTTTTCCAGGTGTCTTGTTGAAGTAACATGCCTACACAGCTGGATTACAGAGTACTTGATATAAAGCACTTTGGTAAAGAAATCTCCCAAACTTAGCAAAAATTCTACTAAAGATGTTTTTAAACAAGCAATAATGAATTCTTTGCTGTATGGAGAATGCACTTTCCTTAGGTTTTTTGACACTCCCCCCTGCCACAAACCCTATTAAAAACATCTCGAGAAGTATGTAAAGAATTTCATACTTAAACAATAAAAAAGGGAAAAAGGTAAAGTGCACACTTTGTAAGTATATAATACAGTTCAATACAGTTATACAAAAGGAAAATACTTCGCTGAAGTGTTGAACAAAAGTGAACACTTCTAGGAAAACACTGGGGAAAACCAAGATATTTAGGATTATTCATCCGAAAGTATGTCCCATCATTTTACTCTATTGTCACTATTTACAAAAGAAAAGGTGAAAAGTTGTCCATCTTTAGGTGTCAAACCCAACTGGGCCAAAGAACAAAGAAACCAAAAAAACCTGACACTGTTACAAGTGCAAAGAGATTAAAAAGAACACATGCATGCTGCTTTTGAAAACTGGATCGATGGGTCGTTTTTCCTGAGGCCTTTACTCTCAGCCCAGTCACCAAACAGGAAAACTAACGTGCTAAGCAGGAAATCCACAATTCCAAGGGATCTCATTTAATCTTGCCAGTTCAGCAGCAATTCACTCCAAATTCAGCAGCGTGCAGTTTGCACAGGTAAAGTAGCAGCGACTCCACAAATCTATCCAGAGTAGTTGCCAGCTACATTCCAACCCCCCAAAGTTACTGCTGTGGTGTTGCCCCTACAATTTTGAACAACTTGTTATTTTAGTATGAAAACATTCAATTTACTTTTAATATGGATAAGAGACTCCCTACAGAACTCAATTAAACGTCTATCCAAATACTCCCCAGGATTCAGAAATATAGACATGTATATTTTAATGACTTATTTTTACTTAAAGCTTGTTTCAGTATTTCCTAAGGTAACTTCTATCCATTATAGCATGGAAACTTTGTAACATTTCAGAAATTAAATGGTTTAAAAAAAACCAAACCCAAACCTACCTCCAAAACAAACCTACAGAAACCAACCCTCTCTCCAAAGAAAAAACTGATACAAAAAAACCCCCTCTCCAACCCCCCCAAAAAACCTTAAAAAAACCAAAAACAATCCCAACACCCAAAACCCAAGCAAAGAAAACCAAAAAACCCCCACAAACACTAAAAGGAAAAAAAAATAGTGAAAAGGCCAAAATATGTTTCA